GGGGGAGAGGAATTGAATTGCGCAAAAAAAGGGGGAGAGAGAGAGAGAGAGAGAGAGAGAGAGAGAGAGAGAGAGAGAGAGAGGATCACAGTGGTGGAAAGTGACGACCAAGAGGAAGGGTTATTTCTCCCAGCTTTTTTTTTGTTTTGGGAGAGGCCACCTTTATTTTCAATTTTGGAGGTGTTGCGACGGAACTCTCCCTCAAATCCCTTTTTAACTAGGCTGCTTTCCCGGGTTCACGGGCACCAAACTTGCGGCCAGGTACACTCCAGGGTGCCCGGTTGGGCATGACCCCCGAGCAGGGTCCCGCAAAAAAATAAAAACTAATAAACAAATAAAACAATCCAAAAAAATCCAGAAAAAAAATGATGCCTAGAATTGCAATACAAACAACTTTTGGCTGAGGGTCACATCGGAATTCCTCACGGAACGGAAGATAAAAAAGAAAATAACTGAATGACACTAAGGCACCCGCCTTTAAACCCCTTTAGCCCCTTTTGGAAAACAGTTTATACCCCCCTTCCCCCCGTTGACAGCCAAAACTGTGAAATAGGAAAGAGCCCAGATTTGGGCTCGCGCGGAAAACCCCCACCGCTTTTTCTCCCCCATTCCCGGGTCTCCCGGGCGTCAGACCACCGCAGGCATCACGCTCGAGTGACCGGCTGGTCCAGACCAGCAGGTCATGAAAATCTTAAAGTTGTTTTTTGAATTTTGAATTGTTACTCTGATTTCTTTTTTCCTTAGTCGGAATTCCGGAATTGTTGTCTGTATGTGAATGAATCCAGACTTGTTTACGTGCATTTGCTTTTTGAAATCTAACTCACATTTTTCGCTGATATTGTTTTTAGTATTTTTACGCATTACTAATAAATGTATACAGTCACTTCGATTCACTTTTTCTATTTTTTTATGTGTTTATAAAGTATTTGACCTGTACACAATAAGCAGAGTTTTGATTGGTGTTTTTGTTTTTCTTCGTCTGGCTCTCATATGATACAAGGTTTGGTGATAAATCACCAAACGAGCTTCCTCTGGAGATCAGGTCACTTCCTTCTATTGCGTCATCGGATTAAGAAGACGACCACAAGCTGGAGCTACAGGAGAGAGAGAGAGAGAGAGAGAGAGAGAGAGAGAGAGAGAGAGAGAGAGAGAGAGAGAGAGAGAGAGAGAGAGAGAGAGAGAGAGAGA